TTGTTACTGTTCGTAGGACGCTGTGAGGTACTGGGGTAGGATTTCCTGATGATGATGTAAATGAAATATCGTAGGAAAAATTCAAAAAAATGATTGAGTGTTAAGCCAGGAATCGAAAATGTGCAACCAATGTTAGAGGAAATTATCCCGTTATCTATAGCATAAGTTTTTGTTAGTGGTGTACTACAAAATTATAATGATTCAAATTCAAAACGTAGTTGATAAAGCATTACGATAGAATAAATAATATTCCTTACTGAGGAATCATGAATTGATTAGAGTGCGTAATAAACACGAAAGATCGAGAAGAGGTAGAACAAAATTAAACGACACGAAGCTGCGGAAATGATCAAAAAAGCCTCCATTACAGTGCCGCACAAAGCACTTTTATGACGTTGTTTTATAAATGAAATTGTCATTAATTTACGCGGTATACGCCCGGCCGGGGTATAAATTTAAAAACATTCATATTTCCCAAATATGAAAACTGTAAATCAATGAATAAATTAAATGTCATTTTTTTTTGTTTACGAGATTAAAGGTAATATAAGTGCAAATACGGTTACTGCTTTAACAAAATTTAACATTTTCCATTAACAAACTTTATTACATTATAAGGCCGTAATAAAATTTATTACATAGAAAATTCAGAAGGGCTTACGAAAATTCACTCGCGCGTAAAAAAATTACAGTTGTTTATTTGCGTTTATTAATATTGGGGGTGTACTTCGGTGACGCGGCGAAGATTTTTCGCGTCGTTGTCGCGATCTATCAGTCGTGGAAGATTTGTTGTTTTTTACGTGGTTGATTTATAATAGATGACTTCGTTATGGTAATGCTTCGAGTTTTTCTCCACTTTAGTTATAAAAACGCCGATAAATAAAAACTTCAATTTGCAAAGTTTAGGAGTTTAGTACCAAATGGTACATGTCGGGGGGTTAAGAAATCAGCACATCAATTACGTGAGGCGGAAGTATGAAATGACGTTTCGGCAGTTTGCAGTGTAGTTCGTGTCCAATTATCGTGAAACGATACCGATTTTGAAGCGCCTGAATGTAATTTAATAATCGCCACGAACAAGCCGTTCACTTGTATCGCGTCAACCCCTTACTATATCGATCTGCATCCGCTCATTATTCAAATTGCTATCGCTATTAAATTAAGCAAAATAAATCACACACTGAATTCGCACATCGTCAATTACCATTACAAAACAAAAGTAGAATTCATGTACAGCTTGCAATCCTCACTGTATTAAAAATAATTAGCAATCTTAAGCTCCAAATGTTACCCCTAGAGACACTTGGCAACAAAGGTAGCCATAAAGGCAACGATTTCCTTGTGTAACGATAAATACGGAGGAGGAGAGAACCTTGTTTACCGTATTGTTTCATCCTCCACCTTTCCGAAGACACAAAGGGAATTTGACCTGTTTATATACAGATACAACTCAAAGAAAAGCAATGCCCGTTTAATTACGAAGACTCAGTAAAATATAGGACGCGAAAAAACCTTTAGCCGACTCGTGCGTTATATTTTAAACATAATGAAATATGGCTTATGGTTGGTTGTGCAGTTTTAAAATCTAAATAGCTTTACGTTCTGGTTATGTGGCGTTTTGTGTGAACATTTTTCATGTGCCACAATTATATTTTCATATCAACAAATTTATGGCTAATGCTAAAACAACGACAAAGAAAATATTTTGCTGGGCTGGGGATATTAAATAAACGGTATGTAACGCTTGCGAAGTAACGCAATGCTGGACATCATGAAGGGTTAGGGGATGATAATAATGTAACTCATTATCTCGATCATTTAGAAAGAAAGAGCTTTAATTATTCACCCGCTATTAAGAGAGATAAAAAAAATGAAAATTCCTGAAAAGGAAAACCATGCACTTTTACAATTTTTAACATGTAAATTGGTACAAGACCAGTGACGGATTTACATAGAGGCACACTAGGCACGAGCCTAGGGGCGGCAGCTTTAGAGGGCGGCATTTTTTGCACTATATTTATTTTATTTAACATCTTAAGTTTTAAAATAAGTCCCCTAACAAGTTATAAAACTGTAAGAACGATAATCGACAATGCAAGGTTTGACGTGTGTGAAAACGTAAAAGGGAATGACCCTGGTGGGGCAGAGGGTGTAAGGGGGTGAAGTAGTTTTTGGTTAAAAAGTTGTCCCCCTTGACAAACAGCTAGTTTTCGATAAATCTGTGGTGAGAAGTTTTCAAATTCACACCCTGTATAATAAGATTAATAGACTAATGACATATCCACGTATTTGTATGGTTGGGCCGAAAATTATCATTTAACACAAAAATTTATATAACTTATGGTCCTTCCGGCCACTGATTAAGAAAAAATTAACTTAAAACCAACGACTCAGTATTTTATGGCATTTTCGAAATTTACATGAAAATCTACGTCGCTTGATACCATACCCAGCATCAAAGGTTTTCAAGTTATTCAAGATTTTTCAAAATTTTTTACCCTGTACCTATAACTCCGTTGACTTGAACTTAAAAAGGTTTTCAAAAATCAACAATACTGACTTGATGCTACATGAAAATGATTTAGATTTTGATCGGTTTTCTACAGGGTGTTTTAAAACTAATGCTCACTTCAAACCGTAAAAGTTGATTTTTTCAAATGAAACGTGCTTTATTTTTCTGCACTTTCAAATGTTGAAAAAATTCTACATCGACCATAATTGTTACATTCCCTATACCCATATGTTATTCTTTACGTTTTATTTTAGATTTTCTAAAATTGTGACTGTTACGCATAATTTTCTTCTAAAATTCCCTTGGATTCTGCAAAATATACTTCATTTTGCCAACAAATATTGTTTAGTACTTCTCTTACTAGAAATCGTTGCAGTAATCCATATTGAAACCCTTACTTTAGATGTTTTTTTTGATAACTTTCTATTAAATAGAGAACTTATAAAAAAGGAGCGTTACTAGAATTTATGAAAACCTGTTTCAGAAATTGAACGAATTTTCTTGAAAAAAATCCAATTTCAATGACATATTAGATGTATTCTTAGAAAATTGTACTCAAAATTTTGTTTAAATCTCTTTGGAATTAAACATTAGCCTTCTTGACGAACCCGAAAGATTTGTGAGATCTTAAAATTATTAGACTTTGCTTTAAAATCTTAGAAGCTTTTCTAGAAGACTTATTCGAAACTTTTCTACAAATTGCACCTTTTCATCTACTTAGGACTCTTCTTAAATTTGTATTTTGAGTAGAAACCAAATTAGAAAGCGTCCTGGTGATCTTCTAGTCTGTATTTTATAGAAACATTCCGAAGTAATTATCTGAGAAGTCTTTCTTGAAGTTTAAAAAATATGTAATACTGTTTCAGGTACAAACTGTCTCTGGATTAAATAGGTACTTTAATTTCTATATGATACTATTTAGGTGTACATTTTTCCTTAGAAACTATTGCAGAATCAAATAAACCCCATATGATACTTTTTCTAGCAAATTTTGTTATACGAATTTCATATATAAAAAATAAACATTCCAGTTAGGGTTGAATGAAGTCATGACCACAGAGGGAGTGTCCGATCTCCCCATACGCGATTATTGAAAACGGGCCGCCTTAGAATATTAAAAAATTTATATTTCCGCAACCAAATGAAGATGACAAAGGTCTTCGTCTCTTAGAGGGCCACTAAGAAATTCCAAAGCAAAAGTGTGCTCAGAAAGGTAGAGAAATGAATTTTTCGTGATTTGCCTCTTTTCCTTGTGTACTTCTCGCACAGAAATTATTGCACGATCCCATAAACCTCATATGATTTTTCTTGTAAATTTTATGCATTAAAAAGGAAAAAAACAGCCCCTCCTCCAAATTCCACCATGGAACGGGGAATATTTTGGTAAAATTATTTTTGGTAAAGACACAATTAACGTGCATGAATGACTTGCAGTATTCGTAAGGTAATTTTCTATGAAAAGCTTACAATATCAAGGTAGATAACACAATCTACAAAAAACAAAAAGGACCTCCAAGAAGCTCTATATAGCAAGCATGTTTTGATAGCGAGTTACTCATCATTGGTAAAAGCAATCAAAAGGCCTCTTTCCACTGAAACTAAATGATACGTACCGTATCATTTGTACAAACAGTAATATAAATCGTCTATTGCTAAAAGTTTAAAATATCCATCGGTAATTGTGACCTTTGTGTATACTAAACACACCAACTTCGAAGCTTGCTGTGCGAATATTTAATTACAATGTAAATTTTGCGTTAAAATTTAAATTAAACACCGCATTCCGTGTTTTGTTACCTACTAATATTGCAATGGCCTCCAGCTGCTAAAATAATGTATATTTTGTAGCTTAATTTTCATTAGGCCCCAAAAATGTCTGCCTTGAAAATCACACAATCGCATCTTTCACCCCGCAGGAAAGCAAGTTAGTCGTCTTATACAGAATTAATGTAAAGGAAACTTAACGACCTATTTTATGTCCAATTTCTTAAGGCCAGTGATACTGTAAAACCACAAAGTATCGGAGAAATGTCCGTGACCAGTGCACCATCACAGAGTTTGCATGCAAGCGATCAGAAATGATCTAGATGGTGGTTTTTCTACCTTCCTATATGCTAGCATTTAAGAAAGATGCAACTTAATTGAATAATTGGCATCGCAATATTCGCATATGAGTACACACTATAAACAAGTTCTTGAAGTTTTCTGGGCAACCAACTAAAATTTACAAGTCCCCGTCTCGTAATTTTGCGTTAAAATTAAAGTAGAAAGTCGTGTTTCGGTCGAAGAAATTTTCCGTAACAAACTGTTCGTGTAGAATGTCGTCGTATAATGCGGGTCGTAGAGATCCCTCGACCGCGTTTTAGAGAAGCGTAAACCTGGACATTCCCAAAGCGCCAAATAAACATCTCCGAAGAGGAATTGTAACATTTATAAAGAAGCGCCACTTTAAAATTACAGTTGAATTAAATCTGTACGTACAACTTACCGTAATAGTGATAAACACTTGCATCCTGGGGGGCCAAACGTTGCGCCCTTCGGAACCACTGCTCGGCCTCCGCGACCCGGCTCACCTGAAACGAGTATAAGCGATCACTTCTAAAATTTGCTTCGAGCCATTTGCTAAATGAAAAACGGAAAGGCGGGTAATTTGGAAACAATTCAAGTGTTTGAGCCATTAAAATCAAGCTCCCGTTTCTGTGTAATTTTTACGTTGAAGTTAAGATGCGTCAATTTTTTTTCAAGCTCGGCTTCTCTTTTTCCACCTCCCATTTGCAAATGACTTTCGTTCACAATTAAATTGAGTAGGCGCATTTTTCCACAAATTTCGCGGGCGGCTTGAAATTGTGACATCCTTGCATTTTTTTTTCCTTATTATCGACAAAGTTCGAATTGGAACCAGTCAAAAAGTTATTGCGAACTGATAACACATATATAGCAAAATTTTGTTATAGGATTAAATTGAACTGCAATGATTTATATAGTCATCGATATCCTTTTAATCAAAATTGCGTGTTCTCTTATAAGCTATGTTAGAAAAATGGGTAGACTACATAAATACTTCCAAAGCAATTTTCTAGCAACGTACGTATTTAACGTAGAAATTTTAGATGCCGTTATTTTACATAATGACATATAATTTGAAACAGTTAGAAGTTGATATTGATTTGATTAAAGACATTTATGGCAACAAAAGTGCAGTTCCTCAATAGTTTACCCTCATGTTTTATTTATTGCTAGCCTAGGTAAATACTAATACCTCGCGTGTTCACAGTGGAATACGTAGGTTACACCTGAAATATGGATATGTACATCAGGAACCGTGTTACAATCTCTCGATTGAATAATAAAATTGAAACCACAAACACGGTTTCCGTATCAAACCTGCTAATAAGTGGTTTTAGAGGTAACCCAAGGGCCTTTGTTCGTCGTTTTTAATAAAAAGGCTCGATTATAATGTTTTTAAATGTACGTGCGTGTGTGGATTTCACACACATTTTTGTTAGTGCTTCAGTTGATGACAGAAAGTGTTGCGTGATCTAATGGGTGCCCGAATAGAGCAAATAATGGTTAAATGCCATAGCCTAAACTGTTACTTTCGAGGTCTTCAAGTAAAAGCGGAGACGGTCCCTGCCATTAATAATGTTAAAACCACCTCATTGAGGTTCTCGATCTTTAAAAAGCGCAGAGTGGGGTAACGAGTAGGTTACATTAAATGCGACAAATTAACAGAAACAGAAATTATATACTCGTCCCTCACCTCCACAAATGCTTTTAGAATTCACCAGGTCCGATACTTTATCTTTTATACAACGCTCCAACTATTTCTATATGAAATGTTGTAGTCGAATAGACTAAAAATTATTTATAATCTGTCATATTATGGAAGGCGCCATGACAACAGCCAAGATGGAACATAAACAAAACAAAGTTGTACTATACTACTGTATTTTGTTGCCTTTGTGCCAATGTTTTCATTGTAAAATATGTAGTAGGCAGTTTTAAATAATAGAGTGTTTTTTTAGACTGACATTGAAATGTCCTAGAGAATTCGAAATATTTTGGCAACCGTGACAGGACACCAACGTAAGCTTAGGCGTGCGTTGCATCGTTGGAAGAAATCTACTAAAGAAGAAAGTTGCACCTAATGCTTTATTTACGAAAACCGCTAATTACTTAGAAAGGTAGCTACCTGCTCCTTAACCTGTTGTACAATAAGGTTATCGAATCCCTGAGGTCAAGTTTTGGTGGACACGAATTCATTCATTCATTCAAAAAAGTACACGCCCTTGGCCGATGTGTTTTGGTATCTTTAACGTGAACAATCAAAATGGAGCCTTACTCTTACATAAGTTATATCAGTCTACTCCTATGCAAACCCCAAACAGGCCAAGAATGGCAATCACATCATATTTAATGACACAAGCTTTGACAAATTAAGATCGCACCTTCAAAAGCATATATTTTTCGTTTGGCGCGCTTAATTCTCCTTTGAAAATATTTGCGATTTTTGGTACATAATCAATTTTTAATGAAGGAAATTAGTTTTGGGAATCTGCCAATATACACATTATTATTTTTTATTCGCAGTATTTTAAAAAAGTGCACCATATAAAGAAGTTGTTCTGTGACAGTTTGGATGGAAAAATTGAAGCTTTACCGCACCTCAAGCACGCACTAGAAACGGTCATTGAATAGCCCGGAAAATAAAAAGAAGAAGAAACACGTCCCTATTCATCAAGGACCCTAGGCGAAAGTAACAATAGGCGTGAAAATAAACGTAAAGCGGGAAAATCAGTACAACAACAGAAAAAGCTTAGGAAAAAGCAATAGACAAAGGGTAAAAACGGAACGATGGATATAAGAGAAATAAAGGCGAATTTCGATATAATTAACAATCTTAAAAAAATAGAAAGAATTCTACCGAATGGCACGCCACTGTTATAAAAACAACCAGCAAAATCCCAAAGAATGTCCCTAATTACAAAACGAAATATTAACGCTAATCTAAGATAAAGACAACCAAATAAGAATTAAAGGCTATTTCTATCGGCTTTGCCTGTTTTAACTTCGGTTCTATAGCTTCAAATGATGTTATCTGACCACATTCCTTTCTTCTTTTGTTATTTTAACTATCCCGGTGTATTCCATTCTGTTTTCCTGTTTTTGGTCCACTGGTTTATCTCTTCTCTCCTCATTTTTTATTCTCTCTAACAGTTTGATTTGTTATGTAAGACTTTCATCTCCGCTGTTTCCAATAATCTTTGTGTTTTGGCCGTGTCTGCACTTCGCAGTGTATGTCATTATCGGCCTTATTGTTATTTTATATATCCTAGTTTTCGTTTCGATTGTAAAGTATTTGTTTCTCCATAACGTGTCGTTTAGGCATCCTGCTCCTCTGTTCGCCCTATTCACTTGTTCTTGTTTTTCTTCATCATCTTTGCCGTGGCTCGACAATTTGACTCCCAAATATTCCTTGATAACAACCTTGGTTCTGCTGATATTAATATGGTTTTGGTTTTATCAGTCGAAATCATCATGTTATATTGAAGGAACGTGTCTTCAAACTGTTTGATTAATCTTTGTAGGTCATAGTCATTTTCCGCTATTATTATGGCATCGTCGACGTAACATATTATTTGAATTTCCTTTTCTCCCATTCTATATCCTTTTCTTTTATTGACTTTCTATATGATTTCGTCTATAATTAGGTTAAATATTAACGGTCGCAACGAATCTCCTTGTCTAATGCCTGTTTCATACGTTATTGGTTGCGAGAGTTCGCCCTCCAGTCTTACCTTCGTTATCTTTATATATGTTCTCTATTGTCTTTACTAAATCTGGTGGTACTCCCCTATTATATAGTAAATGTACAGCATCTCAGGTTCTTACTCTGTCAAACGCTTCCTTTAAATATACCGGGTGATCCAAAATGACTGCGGACAGTCTGAATTTCTCGCGAAACTAAGTATTTATAAAGTTGGTAACACTTCAAATGTCATTCATTTAAAAGCAGTGGTAGATCAATTTAATGGAGCACTAAACAATGATCGCAACTAATTAATAAATAAAAATTAATTTATCAAGCACGGTCATGCTAATTGAACTATCGCCGTAAAGCTCTTTTCAGTTGCCACGTGCGATAGTTCGAACTATCACCTATTCTCCTAAATGAACCATTGCTTCGTCATCAAAGCTATATGAGAACATTCCGATATCTTCGTGCAAAATGTTGTGCCACGATAAGTCTGTACTAGAAACAAAGAGATCTTCGACAACTTCCATTAACGTGGTAGGTAGCATATTTTTCGTTGAATTGCAGTAAGCACATGAGCATCTTCTAAAAGTGGGCATCAAAAGCCATCCCCATTAAAGCCTTTAAGTCTAAAAAGTACTGTTACATGATCCTTATGAAAGTTTTAGGAAAGATTTTGTTCCTAGTTTCGTTCTGATTTTAAAGGTGTGTGTAACGAAAAACTCATTTTGTGCTGTGAGACCTACCAGATTTGATGGCCACCCGGTACATACGCGCGGTATCGAGGCATGATATAAATTTACGATAAACCTGGACCTATGTAGTTCCTTACAAGGAGAAGATAAAAGTAATTTCAAGCGTCGTGTTTTACCCACCGATAAGAAAATCCAGATTCTGTGACTAATTTGCCGTTTGTAACCGTTCCCGTGTGGTTATTTAAATTATCTTTGCAGCATCCGAAAGCTCCCTTCGTTTGGAAGTGGAGGGGAAATTAATATTGTATGATTTCAGTTCGGTTAATTAATTATTAATCGATCTCAGGTTCCTTTGAAAGAAATGTTTGCTTTAAAACGCATATATCGTTCAAGAAGATAAAAATTCACTAACAAAACGCATAAAAAACTACCTTCTAAACATGTTTGCCAATACCTTAAGTAAAAAACACTAAAAAGGGCCAAATTTAAACTGCGTGCACTTGTTTTGGATCACTAATTATAAGGCAATATGCCTGTTTGTTGTACTCCAGCAATTTTTCTTTAATCTGTCTTATTGTGAAAACTGGACCGCCGTGCACGATCTCCCGGTCGGAAACCTTTATTGTTCTTCTTGTAGGTTATTCGCTCATTTATTCCCGTTGGTATTATTCTTTTATTGTCAATTTCAGTGTGGTATTCAATAAGTTTATTCCTCAATAGTGATCCTCTGCTGGTGATTTTCTATTTTTTAATTTTTCTGATTCTTGTTTGACGTCTTTCCGTTATTTCAGTCTTTTCGTCACTTGTTATACTGGGAGTTTCCGGTCTTTGCTGTTAATTTTCTTTTTTAAACACTTCTGTAAGAAAAGGCACCCAACTGTCTTTTGTTATGTATTCACGTTTCACCAATTTCTTCATCTCCTTTCTTTGTTGTCTTAACGCCATACCTGTTTCTGTTGTCTGTAAAAATCCATCTCTATCCCTCCCTAAGTAAATCTTTCCCAGTAATCGGTTTTTGTTTTCTTGACCAGTTGATGTGTTTCAGTTCTTATTTTCTTATATCCTTGGTATGATTCTGTAGTTTCTGCTGATTTGTATTTTAGAAAAGCTTTTTAAATTTTCGTTGTAAACCATGAGTGTTTTTGTTGTCCACTTTTTATTTATGTTTATTGTCGCCGTTCCGCCTCGGTAATGCTTTTTCCAGCTCGTTTCTACGTTGCTTTCATTTTCAATATGTTCTAATTGTATCTTCTGCTCAAGCCTTTTTCTGTATAAGTATTTTATTGAGTCTTCTCTTAAGTTTTCTATTTTTATTTTTTCTTCTGCCTTTGTTTGTTTACATCTTTCTTTCCATCCTTCACTGAATCTGATTTTACAGCCAAATAGTGCTCTGTTTGTCACTACATAATCTATCAGTGATCTTTGTCCTCTCGTATTTTCAAATGTGTATTTATGTTGAATTTTATGATCAAAGAATGTGTTAAGACAACAATTTCTTCCCACTACTTTATTAACAATTAACCTCGCAATTAAAACTGCATCAACGTACCATAAAACTATAGTAGTATAAATAACAGACACTACAAAAATCAACTAGTGTCGAAAAACTTTCTTATAAAAACCCATAATAAGGTTGTTGCTTTTGTGTTTATTTAATTGATTTTATTTATCTTTACAGGACCCACAACCTACCCTATAAGTGAATACAAAGTTGTCACGACTTTCCGTTTTATATAGCTTTACAAAAACTCTCTATGGCAATCATTTGTTGCTCGTGTTGTAACTTTTGTGGTGCATTACTAAATTTGTGTTTGGTTACCTGATTATATGATCCACAGGATACCCCATAAGTCATCACCCCTCCTCATTTTTGTAACCAACTTTTTGTGTTTCTTTACTTATGCTTATACAGGGTCCACAAGCAGATCACCTAGTGATCTTGACCGAGCAAATAAAATGCTGATGACTATGTGGAGAATTATAGTTTAAATCATTCTTTACATAGTGATCGAGACGAGAGGAAAAATATAATTGACAAAATGATAAAATACTGAAGCTGAAAAAACTTTAAAAATGAAATTTCAAAAGTTAAGGTTGCATTAGTGACAACGAGACTATCCCTTAAATGTCTATTTAACGTTCTGAAAACACATAACTTGAAGATAATTAAAAAAAATTTTATCAGTTCACAAAGTAATATGCTAAAGTTTAAAACGGATTAAAGAGCCATGAATTTTAGTAATACAGCACAAGTGAACGTTTAAGATTAGGTCTTCTTGCTTAAAATTTAACTTTCTTCAGTAATCTGTCGTAACAACGCCTTATAAAAGGATCATTCTTGAAAACAATCCGGGCCATAAAAGTTACATCAACAAATTAAAGTTTCAGTTAATGAATTTCCCTTTTAACGAGGCACTCTATTTATATAATTGATTGTTATAGAATAGTTAATTTCTTATTTCGTATTTCCATTCCGACTGTAAACCGAATTAAAACCAAAATTGATTTTCTTGGCATTGTTTTAAAATGTCCGTAATTAATTTAATATAAATTGGAATTGAAGCAATTCCGGCAAATTAATTGAGATGGAATTTAGTTTCTAATTCGGGCAATGAAAAGTTTTAATATACGCGCGGTAAAAGCTGTTTTGCGTTAACGTATAAAAGACAGTTACGGCGCTACTAAATTTCATAAACGTAAATCTGAAATTTTTCAAGTAAATAATGTTCGCGAGCGTAGAATACAAATGCGACGTTAATTTGACAGATGGAAGGCGGTTTTGGAAAATTTAATTAAAGTATGCCACAAATCAAGCTGCGTGTATGTGAGTTGCTCTTTTCGAATTGGCCGAGCGTTTGGATATTCCGAAAAAGATAAAACACGTTTTCACTCACATTTTTGGCGAGAAGCTTTCCGTAGGTAATGTGAGCTGGAACATGATCGGGTTGTGCGTTTAGAGCAGCTTGATACCACCGCTCCGCCTCCTCGTCCTGCTTTAATCTTGCCAAGGTTTCCCCGAGCAAATTGAAGACGCTCTGGAAAGCAATTAATATCGTTAATTAGGATCGGGTTACAGAAGTTTATTGGCGTGTTAAGGGAGGTAGAAAAAAAACCATCTCATCTCTGGATGATTCAATGGAAGACTTACGGTGCACTCGCGTTTCGCTTACAGGAAATTAAAGTTTAATTATCCGGGAGCATTGCGGCTTCCGGTTTTTATTGAATTTGCAATTACGAGTCCCACATTTGATGTACAAATGGCTTCTAATTTATAAAACTGAAACGTGGAAAGGAAAATGAAATAACTCTAAGTTATGATTATTATTATTTCAGCAACAAGCAACTTTACTTTAGTCGCTCCTGATAAATTAAATTAAGCGAATATATAGTAACAAGAGACGCAGTAATGGTTATTACGTTTGTTGAGATATGAGAAGCAGTTAGAGAAACGGTGAATTGGCTGAACGTTGGCAGCACTTAGCGAGATTATCAGTAAGCACGGCATTTGTCAGAATCCAGCTGTGTAACAAGGAAAAAGCCCGACCAGATGGTCCTCGCAGTGACAAAATTCACTTACACAACATATAATTTGCTCACCTGCGGAGGATAGTGCTTCGGTAATGAGTGTGCGGCTTCTCTGTACGCTGCCAAGGCCCTCTGAAGGCGACCCTGATCCGAGTAAAGGCCACCCAGTTGCAGAAGGGCCGAAACACGTGCCGTTTCGTGCTCCCTTCGATCTTTCAACCCCGTTCCATCAAGACGTGAACCCTGCCGTAGTACAGAAACAGCTTCTTGGCATCTACCGGCTGCTATTAATGCCGCTCCAAGATTTACGTACGCCACTAGAATAAAAATTGAGCATTAATGAATGGCAAAAGTAACGAGATGGTTTCTTATAGAATTTGCCCGTTTCAAGAATGAATTGCGACGACATCTTGGGTGATTTCGTAGATTAATCTAAAACGAAAATGATTTTAATGGACCATTACGAAAGAAAATCATAAAAAATTTACGATCATAATGATGATAAAATTTATTATCATGGAAGCTTATAAGATTAAGTTACACGAACGAATATTGTAATTAAACAATATATTAAAAATTGAAGGAATAAATCTGAAAACGCGATTCCCACCGGAGACCGAATGCAATTTATTCCTCTGTGTAAAATTCAGCACCTGAAATTTAACTGTGCAAGAGGGTGCAATTTTATCGTCTGAGTCTCACGAAAATTTTATGCAGGCGAAATTTTAATGAAAGTAAGGTTTAAGACAAAAAAGTAATTTAAATAGCGAGAATATCTACAGAATTATTTATTAAATCCGACGAAACCGAACTCAATAATTGTTCCTTATCCTTTCTTTGTTTCTGTATATGATGTTATAGCCACACACACACACAATAGAATATAATAACAGAAATGTGTTTAATCAAAATAAAGACTTTCGGATTAATTTGCGCTTTAACAAAGGATACTTATATTGCATTATTTAATGCGGTCATTAAAAAAGCTATAACACTTACAAATGTGTCACTTAAAATAATCTTTAATTTTTGCTTCAAAAACAAATGATCCAGATTACCGTGACGAAATAAACAAGGGCAGTTTTCGTAAGTGGTTCGAGGATTATTTGCTACCCAATTTAGAAGAACCATCGGTGATTAATCGATTAATGGGAAACTTGCCAAATTTTTTCTGGACTAAAGCACCTACAGGAAAATGGCTACAGCACAAAAATGTTTCGTTTGGAAATGATGAATGAAAAGTGGAATTTCTGGAGATTGATATGCAAGGTTTGTTTCCTTAAATTTTTTTGCAGCACGGATTATTCGTAGTAATGCTTTAATTTAGAGACTAAACATTTTTTATTTCAGAACCAAACCTTCAAAACGGTATTCTGCTGATGAGATGGCATTAAAAATGGACATGCGTTACTACGGTTGCTTCCTTACTTGATGTTTGGGGAATGTGCAAACAACACTATAACCAACATGGTTATAGTTCGTGTGTTTGTGTGGACTATGCCAGGGTTTTTGTCCCGAAGAAGGTTTTCCTGATATTGCCTGCTTGTGTGCGTGATATACAGGGTGTAGAATTAGTGTAGAATAAGCATTTCAATGGTAATTTATTTATATTGAAATATTTTCTCCCTTAATTATTTTACGGCATAGTTGTAAATACATTTTTTGTAGATTGTAAAATTCTGAGTCTATTCATGTGCCCATGTGTATTTTTCGTTGTGGAAAATTGGAGAAATTAAGTAAATTAACATTATACAATGTTTAAATCTGGCCTAAAAGATCATTTTGGTCACTCGCACAATTAGCATGCTGTTGAGTGTGGCTTTGTAAAATTTTCTGAAGACTTTAATTACTCTTCAACGCAATTAGCACAAAATTTTAAATTTCCAGCGATAATAATCACCACCAAATTTAAATAAATGGAAATTCTGAATGTTTCAATGTTGAAAAAATCAAAAATACGCTTCACTCAATCTTAGATTGAATAGGACGAGCTTTCATGTTACGCGCTGGTTTTGTGACTACCCTTGCACTAAACTGTATCTGTAAGATTTCACCTTAAAAATATTTATTTTACGATTTTGCTTTATTGGTATGCTACACGTGGAAAGATTACTACAATAGGTCATTGAAGCGAGATGTTAAAGTAGATGACACTTTAACGAATACAAATTGGAAACACACTAACAAGCCCCAATTAACTACCGCCATTTTGGAGATAAGCTAGATACGCACGTACAGAAAAACACCCCCGACTAAATTGCATCTTGCGCTCGTCCTTCCATACGATTTTAATTAAATTTTTCTTCTTTTGCATAAAATTAGTTTGAAGCATCGCGTTTTATAGTACCCAAAGCTCGGGATTTTAATTTATGTGTACGTGGGAACGTTTTAGTCTGTACTTGACAAAGTGTCCAACTTTAATTACTTAGACCTACTGACGTCGTAAATACATCCAAATAATTCAATGCTTGCTTCAATTTATTATTATTATAATAATTAATATCAACCTTTAGGTATCGTGCATCAGACCGTATACCTACCTGTAAATTAATTGGAATTGTTTTAGAGTACGGTAATGGATGTTAATCCTTTTAGGGGGTTCCGTCTCCTGGGTGTATTTGTAGTTTCGATAGTGTGTCATTGACCCAATGCATAATCTATAATAACAGATATTTGATAGTTTTTTTCATTATAACTGTATGCATAATTTAGGTCCGGAAGGAAACATGCTAAGTGTCAATTATCAATATTACCTCCAATAAATTATTCCAGTGGTAATCAATTAGAGCTAATGAAAGTATAATAACAATGTATAAACAAAATACCTTTCAACTCTAATTAGTTGATTTATTTACACTACTCCGATATGCGCATATTCCCATAAAGCGCGAAGTTTATAATTTAAATTAGATGAGTAAACATGACCGTTCATTATACACAACGGTGATTTTCAAAAATGGATATCTCCACTATGGAAATTGCTTTCATAAGGGTTGGCATTGGAAAATTACACTTGTATGGCCAATTATCAATAAGTTGTGAATCTGCCACCGTATATTTTGATGCAATAACCAAAAAATGTTTGCAGGCGGAGGAGTTTGGGACAAAGACTCCCCAGAGGGCAAAGTGGATTATTTCACATTTTCCTACTTGCAAACATCTATGATTGCCGATTAGTGCAGTCATTCCCCTATGGGTACATAGCTAGTTTCAATTTTACATTATGGGAAAATTGTGCGGAGACAAACAGTTTTAAAACAGAAAACATCTAGGTACGTAAAAAGTGTATGTTTTCTACGTTTTTGAGTTTATGTGATCCTAATGCATGTTTTTTAAATAAATTTGAACCCCGGGCTTAAATGTAAAATCTGAATACAACACGAGAAATGCCTGTCAAAAAGAGTTACCTTTTTGCTTTTCTATGAGTTCTACAGTTGCATCTCTTTCTACTATTCTAATGGGTTTTTAGAAGTCAGATCAGGAAACCAAGTATACCAATCTTCTAGCGTTTCTGTGAACCCAATGACGTAAAAAATGGATTTTTACTAAAGGAACGTACAGATCGTGAATTTTGTAATCCTGAGGTATTGATTTTGTTTACGTACATAAATAGAGTAAAACCTGCTGCTATTAGGAGAGTATATTATGCGGGAGTGTTACTGCCAAAGTTTTTCACTTTTTACAAATTTCTGTTACTTTGATGCGACGATTATAAAAAGGGCCTTAGAGAACATAACTCGTGAGAAGACGCTTGTCAATAAATATTGCACCTTGAGTTTCTGTAATATTGATAGAATAAGATAAATTAAAGGAACTAAACGCCTATACAACTTGACATATTCTAACCTTATTTAGTATTGCCCACGCAAGTGAAATTTCCCAAGCCCGAATAGTTATTTTTAGAGAACAGTAAAAGGAAAAACTTCCTACGCCCTTCGCTATAATTAAAACAATTGAAACGTTTTTTCATTTAGTTATTTTAAATATTGTCTCCTCAATTTTCCCCCACAGCTTTCCATGGAAATAAAATAACGAGCGTATTCTGTCGATTCAATATGTTCCTTTGGGAATTTAATCCATTGTCTTCCATTAGGATGACGGATGCTTATCAAATTTCTGCTAAAAATGTAAGTTCCATTTCCAAACGGAACCATCCTTTTCAGCTACGAAAATGAAATATCTCCCGTAATTAAGGCCGTACAATAATATCTGTATGGATAATATTCCTTACACTCATAAATCCTTTCTATCGACCTGCCATTCAAGCCATTGTTAGAACCCTTGAATTATTTCGAAATGTACACAATACAACCCTTACCGCAAGGCAATCTTCTGACATGATAAGCATTTATTTTACATGAACAATTTTCAAAGTAGAAACGCCTTGATGTCGTTTTCGTTAACTTTGAATTGCATAGGAGGGGTGCATATATTAACATCAAGTCTATGTTCAACACGTTGTGCTCTATGGACATGTTAACTTGTTCGAATTGTGTTTCTTTTATTTTATACCTAGATGCGTTCGATTGCGTTACAATAATAAAACGCAAGGGTTGAATTAAAAACACTGGTTTTATATGAATGAAATTAATTTTGTTTCGTGTTATTTACCAAAGGCGTTTGTGGCTGGTGTAGGAACTACATTTTAATTCAGTGTTATGCAAATTTCTTTTACAAAGTATTCGGCTGAAGGCATCATCAAAACAGGTTCCGTTGCGGCAGCTGTGAAAAATCATACATTTATGCAAACATCTAAAGTATCCGGTTTAGCCCTAAATTTAGGCCCCCTGCATGTGTTTAATTACAAATCTATACTGAAGCCAGGTGTCCGCGAGTGGATGCATTACATTTATCACTTCTGAAATTGACAACAGAACTATGCAGCTTTTCCAGACATTCACTGAAACGACAAAATTTAAAACAATAACCACTCCTTTTCCAGACTATTATTTACAATACACGTTCCACATAGACAACTGAACATAAAGTACCCAGAATAATACGTAACGTTTCATATAAAATGCAACTGTACACACAAACAACTTAAAATGTCTACCGTGTTGTATTTTCCACCCCATATCTGCTTATTTATTACCTTATTTGATTTGCAGTGTTTACCTAAGTCCCTTATTTAATATTAAAACTGCCATTTCGAATCGAATTCTCCATTTTGCTCTTCCGTATGTAAGCAGTTAAAATTTAACGATTCTTATAAAGAAGTAGTTGGAATACTTAATTTCCGCCATTAAACTTTAGTGCCGCACAAATTAATTTACTCAAACATTGTCAGTCGGATTTCTTTTAATTAGTGCAACAC